TGCTTCTATCAGGTTGACTATTTTAGATACCTCATGTAAGCAGACTCATACTGTGTTTGTCCTTCTGTGACTAGCTTATTTCTCTCTGCATAATGTCCTCAAGGTTCTCCATTGTACATTTCCACCAACAGTACACAAGGGTTCCCTTTTCTCAATGTTCTTACCAATACTTGGTACCAATCATCCTAATAGGCATGAGGTGCTATCTCACTGGTTTTGATTTGCATTTCCCTGATTATTTCTACTCTGCATTAACTAAACTCTCCTGCTGTTTCCTATAGTCCAGCCAGCAAGGTCTGGCGGCCACTACAGAAGCACTGCATTCTTTAAAGCCCATCTTTCAGCACAAAAGGTTTCCTGCATCCTGTGCCACTGCCTCTATCCAGCAACTTGTTGAAACTATTGTCATTTTTCACAGAGCCACTCCTTCCTTTCTCAAAGCTTCCATTTAAAGGAGTCAATTTATTTTTTACCATTTATCTTTCTTGGTTCCATAGTGCTTTGTATTTTTTAGCATCAGTAACATTCGGCCTTGTGTTACTTCATGTATAGGCAGAGGGAGAGGCAGCATAGCAAAACACACAGGCCCAGAAAACCTGGCTGCATGTGCTCATCTACCACTTGTTATTTGAATTAGGATTACTGAACCCCTGAAATCCTTGGGGTTCTTCCCAATGAAATGCAATCAATAGTATCATAGGGGACCATCTGATAAATTATATAGATTCCAGAAAAATCAAACAAATGGAAAACTTACTGTGAAAGACTGAAACTATTTAATTTTTTAAGAACAAAGACTTATGATTCATTTTCCAAAAGCAAATCTAGATAGACAAATTTAACACTAAAATCATATCCTTCTGTCCATTGAGGCTGCTGTCAGATTCTTGGTCTTCTATTATGGTTGGGATCTTAAATGGCCCCCAAAGGCCATGTGCTAAATAACCTTTGCTATTCAATAGCTGGCAGCACTCTTGGGACATGGAAGAAACTTTAGGATATGGAGCCTTGTTGGTAGGAGTGGGTCCTTGGGGGTGTGCCCTTGAAGAGTGTATTTTGTCCCTCGGTCCTTGTTTTGTTCCTCTCTTTTTCTGCTTCCTGACCACCATGAAGTAAGCAGCTTTAATCTGCCATGTGCTCCTGCTGCCATGATGTTTGCCCAGGGCATGTTTGTCCAGCCATGGATTGATTCATTCAGAAACCATGAGCCAAAACAAGTCTTTCTTTTTTAAAGTTGATTTCCTCAGGTATTTTGTTACAGTGGTGAAAAGCTGACTACGAACCTTCCAAAAACAAAAAGATAATTTAATCATACAAAGAAAAGAAGAATATGGAATTAATAGCAAAAAATGTCTAGAGCAATAATCTGTTATTTATTGATTGATTGATTGGTACTGGGGATCGAGCTCAGGACCTTGAGCTTGTGAGGCAGGCAGCAGAACCACTGAGCTAAATCCCCAGCCCAACAAATTTATTTTTCTAATGGGCTTTTTACCCTTCTAGTAGTAGTCTGTTGTTAATTATTAAAGGCTGTGTACATATCTAGTACCTTTATAAAAATACAGCAGTCATGAAGCATTCAGCAGTGCCCAACTTTGGCTGACCACTAGACTCACCATTGCAGCCTTGCAAAGTACAGTTTTCAGAGTCTACTATTTCTGATTCAGCAGGTCTTGGGGTCATGGTGTGGCTTGAATGTTTATCCCCTCTAAAACTCATGTTAAAGTTTAATTGCTGCTGTAACAGTATTTGGGAGTAGACACTTTCCCAGGTGATAGCTACAGGAGGGCTCCACCTTCATGAGTGGGATTAATGCCATTATAAAAGTGTGAGTTTGGACTCCTTTTGCCTTTGGCATGTGGCATGAGGAGCATCCTTCTCTCCAGAGAAGAATGCAGCATTCAAGACATCGTCTTAGAACCATAATTGCCAAGACAGCCAGCACTTTGCGATTGGACTTCCCAGCCTTCAGAACCATAAGCCAATACATTTCTTCATTACAGATTACTCAGTCTGTGATATTCTGTAATAGCAGCACAAATGGACTAAGCCAGGTCACCAGGTGATTCTGAAAGTGTGTTAATCTCTCACCTAGATAAGAAACAAGGATGCACTAGTGAGGTTAGGGACAAAGGAGGAGATCTAACAAACACCCAGATTGTAAAATTAACAGGTGTTAAATTGTTTAAGTCACTTTTGGATACTTTTAACAAAGTTCCATAGACAGGGTGACTAGTAACAGAAAATTTTTCTCCCAGTTCTGGGGGCTGGAAATCAGAAATCAGGGTGACAGGATGGCTAGGTTCTGGTGAAGGCCCTCACTGTATCCTCACACAAGGTGGACAGAAAACTTTTTGCAAGTGCACCAAACTCATTCATGAGATCTCTACCATCACATCTAATTACTTCCCAATGGTCCCACTTCCAAATACCATCAGGCTTGGATTAGACTTCAACATAACCATGATTGATGGGTATCAACTGGAACACTCTGTGGGTGTGTAGGCCATTTACAAGTCCCAGAATAAAAGCAGAGTCTTAGACCTTCAAGGGCAAGGAAAGATGATGAGATAATTCATGGAAAGTGTCAGTCAGGTATGTATGTGTGGCTTGTTAGGCACAGCTCTAAATTTAAGGCCTAAGAATGAGCTGAGGAAACAGGAACGTTTAGGTATGACTGACAAACAAGACCTCTTAAAGGAGACTGAAGAGAGGTCTGAGACATAGGAAGGAAAGAAGCAATTCAATATTAATTCACTCTTCAATGGGGAAGGCTTCGGTTGGCTACTGAGGGAAAAGTATGAATTCCAAGTTCAGGAATGAATTTTATACCATCAGACAAGGAAGTAAAAGGCAAAACAACAAAAACAACAGATGTGTTTACTAAATCTTTCCATGATCTTTATAGTTAAAAAAACAAACAAGCATTGTCCAGGTTTACACACTTAACAATGACCCACATGTTTTCATTTTACTATTATGGACTCTACAATAACATTGGCACATCCTTTTAAAAATATTTCCATAAGCTCTCTTTTATCCTTATTGGTTATAATTCAGTCTAGAGAGCTGCATTCTCCACTTTGGAGATGAAACTACCAGCAAGATCAATTTTTAAAAATGCACCAAAGATTCTGCTTTAGCAGAATGAGACTGCCATAGTATAGACACATAATTTATGTGTGACAGTATGGACTCATAATTATGAAATTATCCACCTCTATGCCAGATCTGAAACTCACATTAGGAAAGCAGCAGGCATATGCTTCATCTACCTGAACCTTTGGATCTGGCTCTAACAGTGTTAACATCTGTGTAGATGTCTTATCTTGTACTCTTCATCCTAGTTCTCAGCAAGCTCTGGCCTCCAGAGCAAGGATTTACAAGTTGAGCCCTCTTCCACAAATCTCTCAGGTGTGATTTTCCTAAACAAATACACTGGCATATTTTAGTAATCAGTTGTTTGTTGTCCCTAAGAGCTCATACTGACCTTCTGAAATTATATTTTAGGTTTACCTTATTATCTTTTGAGACATAATTAAAAGTATGAGTACTAAAGTGTATTTATTACAGATTTAGCTGAAACAAAGTCAATTGCCTTTCAAAATATGAAAAAGAAGTCCTCTCCAAAGTGCTACAGACATCAGAGGGACAAACGTAAAGGAGATTTTTTTTTTCCTATTTAGAAATAATTTTTCTGTGGCAAAGATGAAGTATTTTTTCTTATAAACCAATGGCCTATCTTTTCCAGCTTCTGTATTGACTCCAACTTAGGTTATACCTGCTATTCACCATTATGTCATTTTATCATTTTATCTGACCGTTATTCTCTTCACCTCAAATGTCAGTTTAAAGTTCTATGAAGTAGGCAAGACACGTGCAAAGCGCATTCCTCTCCATTTTCAGGAGAGGAACTCTATGCCTCATAGGGAGTCTGTCTGTGGTATTAATAGTGGAAGGTCTAGTTAAGAAGGCCTAGTTTGGGTCTTCTGTTCTTGATTTGGGAGCATGCTACTTGATACCCATTACTTTTTCTCCTCCTCACAGTTATAGCCTCAACTGAAAGAAGACATTAAAAAACCCTTCTAATGCCCAAACCAAGTGCCTCTGGTTTTGTCGTTCATTGCAATATGAATCAGCAGGAGTAGTGTGGTCTGTAAATCTGCAAGTCTTAGAAACCCCCTCGAGGACACCTTTCATATCTGCTCCATCACAGTTTACCTCAAATAAATAAGAGAGAAATAAGATGCCTGACTCCTTTTCCCACTTCTGGAGGATTTGGTTTGGATACTTTTCCTTTGACTTTCAAATGTAGGTCTTTAGAGACCTCACTGCATTTACTTAATGTTTAAAGGAAATGTTACAAATTATCAATCAATATATAAAAAGATGTAGATAGTATTGTCAAGGACTCCTTTATAGTTCTTTTAAAATACTGTCTTTACTTATGATAGTTACCAAGAACAAATACATAGAACTTAAAATCTGAGGTTGCCTTGAAAGTGTGCCACACACAAGAGAGACAAAAAGAATAATGTTGTCCTTAGAAATTTGCAGTGTGGGTGGTAAGCTAGCTCTCTTGAACACAGTTGGATGCACATACCCTGCTGTAACATCAGGGTTTTTTTTGGTACCGGGGATCGAACGCAGGACCTTGAGTTTGCGACGCAGGCGGCAGAACCACTGAGCTAAATCCCCAGCCCCACATCAGGTTTTCATGAACAGTGCAATGTCCCCAAATGATCAGAGTGCTGAGGGCACATAAGCATTTGTGGGACTGTTTTGTAGTAATAAGCAAAAATAACATCAGTATTATTATTCTTGATCTTGGAATATAGACCAACTCAATAAACATTTGATAGACTATATTTCAAAAGAATTCAGCATATCTAAAAATAATTGTTCAAAGTTATATCCATATGTGATTTTAATGATAATTTAAATAAAATCTTCCACCAAAATCATATCAATACTAAAAATTAAAGATCAAAGTTACTTACTTTTACTATGACAAGCCTGGCCTGCTTCTCATATCTCCAATTATCATTTTCTGTATATTCTACTTCAAACAGGGTATTGTAATTTTCTAAAATTTTAGCCATTATCTTGTTGCAAAGATCCTGTTCTTTCATGCCTTCATGCCCACCTGGCACACTGTAAGTTAAAACAAAAAGAGAGAGGAATTACTTAATAAAAACAACAATGCCAGTACACTGGTCTCAGACTTATTTGTGATAACTCCTGCATGATTTGCCTTGTAAGGAGACATGGGATTTTTCAACAAGCTCTTTGGCAGCATGTATGATGTGGTTGGGACAAGCAGTGAGTTCCCAAGATCTGACTCCATAGTTTGTGCTGACTGGACAGAGTCAGGCTCTTTAAGAAGAAGGTTCAGAGTGGCACTGATGCTGCTAGTCTTCTGACGACATTTAAATTGTTATATGTAACACGTATACAACAGTAAAAGTGAAAAGGAATGAGCATGATCATGACAAAAATATTCAGCCACACAAATAATTACAACACAACATTTATTTAAGGATTTTTAAGATAATGCATAAAAGTACAAACCTTAAAGGGAAAAATGAATTCTTCTAGGGGGAAAAAGATAACCATTGTTGAAGCCAAATTATGGGCACATGGAAGATCTATTATAACAGTCTCTCTTCTGTCAGGTTAATTTAAAATACCCCATAATAAAAAAAGTTAAAGACCAGTTTGAATGCAGAACCTACCATAAACAAAATAAAAAGACAAACTACAAACTGGAAGAAGACAATCATCTTCTTTAGCAACATACACACTTGACATAGGATTAACAATTGGGGAAAAAGAATGCATCCCAAAGAAAAATACAACAGATGTGAATTGGAAAACTCACGCAGGAAAACATCTAAAGTCAGTAATCTTTAAAAGGATACTTAACATCATTGAGTAACCAGCCAAATGCATTTAAAAAGTAACACCTTGATAATTTTAAAACTTGTTTTTATTAGTGTCCTGTGGATGCTGTAACAAAATCACCACAAACCAGGCCCCAACAAAAAACTATTATCTTCCAGTTCTACATGCCTAAACAGCAAAATTAATATCACCAAGTCAGAGTCATGGGGCCAATCAAGCTAGACTCCCTGTGGAGGCTCTAGAAGAATCTGTTCCTCAACTTTCTTCACTTCTGGTGTCCGCCAGCATTCCTTGGCTGTGGCTGCATGGTAACAATTTTTGTCAAAAGCCAGTACCTTTAAACTTTTCTCAGTTCCATCTTCACATATGTATCTAATCTCCCTCTCCCTCCTTCCTTTAAGGATACACATGATTGCATTTAGTACCTACTCAGATAACCCAGGATAATCTTCTTATCTCAAGATTCCTTTTTAATTACACCTACAAAGACTCTTTCTCATGTAAGGTTTACAGGATCCATTGACCAAGACCTGATACCTCAGGAAGACATTATTCAGCCTACTAAACCACACACAGGATATCCTAAAGTGTCTCCCAAATGAGTCATATCCTTGTACAATCTCTTCCCCTTGGGGGCTGTGACTGGCTTGGTTCTAGTCAGTAGAATTTGACAAAGGTGATAGGATGTCACTTCCATGAAGATGTGACAGTATGTTAAGACTCAGTCCTTGCAGAGCAGAGAGACTCTCCTGCTGGCCTAGACGAAGTAAGTTGCTGAGCTGTTAGAGGGACTGGGAGAAGGTCTGTAAGAGCACCACAGGGAAACATTGGGGATCTTAGGTGGCTTCCAGCTGTGAAAACCCTGTAAGAAGCTGGAGTCCTTAGTCATGCAACTGAAAGGAAATGAATTCTGCCAACAAGTGGAATGAGATTGGAAGCAGATGCTTCCCAAACCTACCATCTGGATCACTGAAGAGGGAAGAGAGTGCCAGGCTGGTGCTCTCTGCTCCAGTCCCACACCTCTGCTGGAGGAGAGGTCTAAACAGCCTGAGGGAATGACTGGGCTTTGCAGGACTGGACTCCTGGTCAAATTCCCAAAACATCAGCCCCTCTCCCTATCACCTCTTTTCCAAACACAGGACCCTGCAGCCTGGCAGCATCCTCACTAGCAGACACTGAGGGCAAAGGAAGCCACTCGGACTCTGGGAAGAGAAAGGATATAAAAGCAAACAGGGTCTATGGACATCTGCAGGTACACAGTCCCGCCCATAGACTCTGTGGACCCCATTCCCAAGTGAACTGCCTGCTGTGTCCTGAGGTCCCATGCTTGTGAGTGAACACCTTGGCCAAGTCTCGCAGACCCCCCACCAAGGTGTGAACACACTGGTAGATTCCCAAGGAGCCCTGCCAGAGTGTGACACAGACAGCTGACTGCAGACGCCTGCCTGTGAGCTGAACTGCCCACAGACTCCACCATCACACGGGGGCTGGGGAAGAGTCCCAGAGGAGGCAGGCCCAGGGCCAGGGTCAGATTCCACTGACAAGTTAGAGGGGTGATTTCTTGGGACTGGGTTTGCCTGGGTTTTGAGTGCAAGGGAAAAGAAGAGAATTTGTTGTGGCTACCTGTCATCAGACTGCAACTAATGCAAGAAGGGAACTGTGTGAACACTCAGGCTTTTTCGCATAGTGGGCTTGTGTGAATTGCATATACTTTTTCTTGTTGGCATATCTGATCTGCAGTCCCCCAGATATTTTTGGTTTTCTGTTTTGTTTTTTTTTTGTTTCAAGTTGTTTTGTTTTTTATTTTTCAAGTTGTTTTTGCCTTGATTTTGTTGGTATTTATTTTCTCTCCCTCTCTTGTCTTCCTATCTCATCTCTTCAAGCTTTTACAGCAATACTGTTTTATTTTTCACTAGTTTCTTCCAGTTTTAAAATTCTTCCTCTCAAGTTTTGACTTTGGCATATTCTGCTGTCACTCCTATCTTCTCTTGTGTTAACCTTCTGTCCTCTCTATTCTGTTCCTTTTGCTCTTCCTTATCTGATGTAGCCCCTGTCTTCCCTTGTCTCTTTTCCACTTTACAGGTACACAAATGCATTAAGTTCCAACAACCTTGTATTTTTCCTCATTCTTAAAGTCCACCTCCCACCTCCTATACCTTGTCCTTGCCCCTCAAATTTCTTCTTAAAACCCCCAACACTAACCCTCTAACCCTTAAATTCAACCAAATGACCTCCAATAGAATCTGACCCCATATCTATTTTTTCAGATATTACTTCTCCTTTCCAGCTCTTCCCCTACTGACTTACATTTATTTTACAGCCGTCCCTCCATCTCTTCTATCCACACTGCAGAGTAACTGCTAATAACAATTGAATATAGGCTGCAAAGAGTGTTGATAAAGGGTGAGAATGTAAATACAAGGTGTATCTCATATAATTGATGTATGATTGGATCTGTTGATGTTGCTATAACAAAAAAATAATTCTTTCCCCAAAACACAAGAGACAGAGTCCAAACCACTTAAATAAAATAGCTGAAGGGGTAAATCCTATCTTTGGATAAACAAAGCTAAGAACACAACACTGAAAGGCAGTATAGTATCTTGCTAAAAAAGATATTTGTATCAATTATAACCTTTCCTCATTCTGCTTCACCTCAACCTTCAGCATCAAAAAATGGAAAAAAGGGGGAAAAAACCACATATATGTATGTATGTAACACACAACACACACACACACGCACATACACACACACACGCACATACACACACACACACAGAAATGTGGGAAAACAAGACAACAAAAGACCTCTGGGGTTTCCCAACTCTCCCAAGGCCAATCCAGGGGGTGCTGATGGAGAGAAAGGCAAACACCAGGTGCTGCTGCTGTATGAATTGATTAAAGAAGAGTTAAAAAAAAAACTTGATGAATTCAAAGAGGACATGACCAAAAGGTTTATGAAATTATCATACAAAATGAATAATGTGGATTTGGGAGAAAAATAAAAATTGGAAGAGCTGATTAGAATAGCTCAAGACATGAATGACAAATTTGCCACAGATACACAATCCATGGAAAGGTATCAGACAGAGATGCCAGATATAAAAAACTGTATAGAATTCATAAATTACAGAAATGATCCATGTGAAGATGGGGTTTGTGAGATCAAAGACAAAATGGTAAATTACAATGAATTACTCAGAGAAGCCTCAAAAACTTTAAGAGAACAAAAAAAAATGCATTCAACCACTATTAGAAGATGCTAAGAAGACAACTAATGTTAACTGGAATTAGAAACTAGAAGACAGCACACATAGAAAAATAAATTTGTTTACAGAAACCGTAATAGAAAATTTCCCAAGTATGAGGAAGGAGTTCAATATACAAGAAAACGAGTCTTACAGAACACCAACCATGATGAAAAAAGAAGCTCCCCACAACACATTATAATTAAAATGCCAGATTTTCAACAAAAAACAAGAATTTTAAAAGCTGTCAAGAAAAGCAAAAAATTACATATAAAGGTAAACCCATTAAATTACAGTAGATTTCTCAACACAACTTTAATGGCCAGAAGAGCTTGGAGTTAAGTATTTCAAGCCCTAAAAGCAAACAAAATCCAACTCAAATCAACATACCCAGCAAAACTTTCTTTCAAAATAGATACAGAAATAAGAACATTCCATGAGAAATAACAACTGAAGAGATTTATGAACACCAAGCCAGCAGTCCAGAAAATACTCAAGAATATCCTACTGGTAGACAGAGATGACAAAGCCAACAAAGGCAAAAATCCATATGGAATGAATACATCAAACAATGCCAATAGATAAGCAAACAAAAATAAAAAAGAAAGGAGTCATCAACAGAAAAAAAGAGCAACAATAGGAACAAATCAATATTGTACCACTCAGTAATAATTATCAATGTTAATAGACTCAGATCCCCAATTAAGACACAGATTGCCAGACTGGTTCAAAAAGCAGAATACAACAGTCTGTTGCATTCAACAAACTCATCTAATCCAAATATATTAAAGGATAGAAAACAATATTTCATGTACTAGGACCCCCAAAACAAGCAGGGGTAGTAATTTTATTCCCAAAGTAAACTTCAAGCTAAAACTGATCAGATGAGACAAAGAAGGTCACTACATACTAGTTAGGGAATAATCCAACAAGAAGAGATAACACTTATAATGATGCATGCCCTGAATACTGGAGCACTTATCTTCAAAAAACAAATATTGC